CTAAGCACTTCACTGTTCACTCAATAGGAAACCCAGTTTTTAACAATAAAGCTATTTCCATCCCAAACTCCCATAGCATACCCAATGTAGGTGTGCAAGCTAAGTAGGTATAGAGGAGCTTATATACAATATGTTCAAGAGGGGTGTGTGTGTGTGTGAGGGAGGGAGGGAGGGAGAGAGATGGTTTATGGTTTTTTTAAATATATAGCCCTACCTTGATTGGATTGGCTAATAAGGGGGAAATAATAAACTCAAGCCATCAATAATTTATTAGGTGATTTAATGAGATGTTATTATACTGTATAAGTCATAATTTAGGAGTTAGTGTTTTTATGGCTTATTTTAAACATGGGTAAAAGTAATGATGCCTTACATGATGTGTCAGCCTAGGTTAAGAGTCATCTCTTGAAATTACTTTCTTGCTGAATTGTTGTTTGCATTTCTCTGAATGCTTGATGCCCATCCAGGCCTATACATTTTGAAATATACGTTGGGGAAAATGGAATCTAGAATGTGCACATTTTATAGTTTTAAAACTATAAAAAAAGATGTTGAGACTCTAGAAACTAGAGTACAGAGAAGAGCAACCAAGATAATTAGGGGACTGGAGGCTAAAACATACAATGAACGGTTGCAGGAACTGAGCATGGCTAGTCTAGTAAAGAGAAGGACCAGGGGAGACATGATGGCAGTGTTTCAATATTTGAGGGGCTGCCATAGAGAGGAAGAAGGGGTCAACCTATTTTCCAAAGAACCTGATGGCCAGACAAGGAATAATGGATGGAAACTGATCAAGTGAAATTGAAACTGAAATTCAAACTAGAAATAAGGAGAAATTTTCTAACAATGAGAACCATCAACCCATGGTACAGCTTGCCTTGAGAAGTTGAGGGTGCTTCCTCACTGGACACCCATCTGTCAGAAATGGTATAGGGTCTCCTGCTTGAGCAGGGGTTGGACTAGAGGACCTACAAGGTCCCTTCCAGCAATATTATTCTATTCTATACGAAAAGGTCACAGAGGTCTAATTATACGAATTGTCAGAGATTAGACTGAGAAGCTTGAATACTATAGATTTATAGTAATACATTCATGTGGAAAACTGATTTCCACAGACATGTGCATGAAAAAGGTTTATATATCTCTACCACAGAAAGCCTGTTTGGTGTAGTGGTTAAGACATCAGGCTAGAAACTGGGAGACAGTGAATTCTAGTTCTGCTTTAAATACACAACCAGCTGGGTAGGCTTGGGCTAGTCACTTTCTCTCAGCCTAGGAAGGAGGCAACCAGGGATGGGATGCTACCAGTTCTGCCCGGTTCTAAAGAACCGGTAGCTCTGAAGAGCAGCAGACACCGAACCGGTTCTGTGTTTGCTGCTGTTTGGCCCACCCGCCCGCCTGGGCTCTTACCTGTCCTTTATTTCCTGCTTTTCCAACCTCAGCTGCTTTGCGTGGTACAGCTGAGGGTGAAAAAAAACAGGACAAAAGAGGCTTTTCAAATGCTGTGCACCTGCACACAGCGCTTTCCAGCTGACCGGGAGGCACAGCTTAAGGGTTTTGTACATGCATGCACATGCAAAACAAAATGACCGAACCGGTAGTAACACCGGTTGAATCCCACTCCTGGAGGCAAACCACTTCTGAAAAACCTTGCCAAGAAAACTACTGAGATTTGCCCAGGTACTCTCCAACAATTGTTTAAATGGAAGGGGGGGAAATCTATCACAGCCTTGAGAAAAGCTTGACTATAGTTTTGATAAGCATTGTAAGTAGCATGTTTTTTTCTTTAAAAAAAGTGTCTATTTTGATTAAAGCACTTTTACTGCCAGTTGAACTCTTCATAGCCTTAGTTGGGGGGAAAAACCGAAGTATGCAGATAGAATTTATCTTGGCTTTGTTTTTGTTTGCCCCAGCTCATTACGTTCTTTGGGTTCTTTAGTTACAAGGGTGGTATTTGTTTTCGAATTCCTGCACTGCAGTGCAATGAAGTTGCTCCTAACGTGACTGTCAGATGAGACTTGAAACCAAGCCTTTCCGTTCTGAATATATGGTGCAACTTTCCTGGGTTTATCCTTTTCATACCGTAGGGGTATATGTTTGATCGTTCTGATGCAATGGACAGCTTTATGGAGTTGACACCACTGTCAGCTGCTGGTCAGAGAGAGAGAGAGAGAGCGCCTGCCAGCATCCCAGCAAAATGGTCAGTGGAGCAGGTCAGACTGAATCCACAAGGGAGAAATAGAGTAGGCAGAGAAAGCTCTATATTAACACTAAGGATGCTTTAAATGTGTTTTTCAATTTGGCAACTTTTAAAATGAATGGGCCGTACATCTTAAAGTTGCCAAAATAGGAAAAACACTGATTTAAAGCAACTTCAGGTATGGTCTGGAAGTCAGAAGGAAATGAAGTTACCGGGGCAGAAAATGAAGTTATCAGGATCTGGTGGTGCCACAATTAGATGAAAGTGAGGAAAAGTTCTCAGAGTAATGTCCAATTACAGAGTAATTTTCCACTTTGTGAAACTCTGGGAGGGAGAAAAATGCTTAGAAAAAGAACAAGAGGTTTTACTATAAATAAAGAAGTCAAAGGGCCAAGGTGCACCAAGGTTCCTGAGAAGGGCTAGTAGTCATCCATACATCGTGAGTCAAGTAAGAAAAAGAAAAGTGCCGTGGGAGTTAATCTGGCAAGCTCTTTGACCTTCTGGACTTTGTTTTCATTTTCTGTATATTAGGAAGAAATGGGAAAATCAGTTATCAAAAGATCTGGTGCCTCCTAAAGCATGCTACTCAATCGTGTCATCTTAGAAAACTGTGTAAACAGATGATGGCAACTGAGACCAATATTGCTCAGTCATATAAAATGGTTGCCAAGTGGTACCTGGCAGAATTATGGCTAAAACATTCAAACTAAGAGCTAGTATTTTTATTTCAGAATAATCACATGGAACACCCCAACTGGGTGTAGCTATACTTCCTATAGAAATGTAGAAACAGGTATACCCTCCCTTCAAAAATAATATTAAGGCTACTTATATTAAATAATTCTGCTGGACAAAATCAGCCCTTGCATTGGGTAAAACTGGTCCTTCAAGAAACTCCCTGCCCTGTGCTTCAATGGTAGATGTTTGAGCCAGAAGATTAGGCAGACTCTGCTGTTGATATAGGTTTTTTTCTGATTGAAATGTACTCTTTATCTTGGGCATCATGAGTCATTGTTTATAACTATCGTTTTAATTCATGTATGCTGCCTAGAGTCACTACTTTTGTGAGATGAGGAGCCAGGTTAAATAAATAAATGTTCATTCTGGTGGTGATCCCTTTGTAGCATTCAAAAAAGTGTGTGTGCTCTCTTGCTAAGATGTGTAAGATGTGACCCAGAATGATAAAACTTCTTTTTTTTTTTGTAGCCTATTGGGATTGCCAGATGATGACATTTTTTCTTCCTTAAATAGCTTATCATGTTTTTGATCTTTCATGCAAACCAAGGATGGTTCTGCTCCGTAGAATCTGCTCGTAAAGGATCTGTATTTATTTTTTTAATGGTCCAAAGAACTTCTTGAAGCACTACAACTCTAATACGCATTAGTGTTCTCCGAAAAGCACAGCAATGATGAGGTGGGGGTTGGTTTTATTTTGAAACCCTCAGTCTTCCAGTCATACAATTTGGGGAAGGAGGAAGACACGTATTCTTTTCCTTTATCCCAAAGGTGTTTTTCCCCCCCCCAAGAAGCAACTGGGCTTTCTGGTTTTTCTTTGAAGATGTTTCGCTTCTCATCCAAGAAGCTTCTTCAGCTCTAATAAGCTTCTTGGATGAGAAGAGAAACATCTTCAAAGAAAAACCAGAAAGTCCAGTTGCTTCTGGGGGGGGGGGGGGGGAAA